CGCGCTGCCCCTCTCTCTCCTCCCCGTGCAGGCCCTCCGGCGAGTGCAGGATCCGCAGAGGGTGTACCAGGAGAAGCTCCCGGACCACATGGATGATGGTTAGTCACGGCAACCTCCGCGTGTTTCTCTGTGTCCCCCTCTCCCCATTCCCGGTTCCTGCTGGTTTTCCCCAGTGTGCCCCGTTTGGTGCTTGGTCCCCGGTTCCTCAGCCCATCGCCCTGACACCCCTGGGAGTGAGGGATGCTAGCCTGGTCAGCCCAGCCCCCAGCGGGAAAGGCATTCCTGAAAGCACCGAGGCTCCCCAGTGTCCCCACTGTGGGAGTCTGCATCCATGGGGATCCCTGGCACTCCCCATCACCTTCTCTCAGGAATATGGGACAAAAAGATGCCCACAACATGCTGTAACCTCCTTGGGGACCCCTGACAGGTGGAGGAGTCACCTGTCATAAGACAAATTTTAACAGGGAACGTTGATTTCAGCAGGTATGAAACATCAGGACCCAGGGATGTATAAAGGATCTGCCTATTCTGGTTACCCTTTCCTGATGCTCTCAGATCCGTATCTGCCCAATGGATCTATGTCACCTCTGGTGAGTTCCTCCTCTCTGTATGGAGAAGTCTTGTGGCCTCTTTCACTGCTGAAGTATGTTGCAGGTATTGTGCAGGCACCTACACATGCTTTTTGCCTGACAGATTGGAGCCCAGTTTCTGAACTAGCTGGACACTGTTCTGTCCAAGCCAAAAGGAAAAGCAGTGGGAATGGGGAGAGATGCTTGGCAGGAAGCGCCTGCTTCGCTCTGAGTTTGCTGGAGGAGCTGCTTTTCCAGTCTCCTCATCCTCTAGATTTGGCTTTACTCTTCCAACAGTCAACTCCTAATATCTCATGGAAGAGTGTCGGTTCCTTTTTCTGGGTCATGGGCTTTGGAGGGAGCAGCTCCTGGTCTTTGTGGTTGTGTTCAGGGATATGTCCCACAGCTAAGCTTGTGTGTTAGGGCTCTGTTGTGGATGATGGCCCAGAAAATGGATCTTGTGCTTCTAAAATGGCAATAGAGGTTTGCAGGAAAAGGCTTTGTGCTGCTGGAGGACTATTCCCGTCTTTCTCCTGGAAAGTTTTTCCTTCCCAGTTTAAATCAGCTTTAGTAATTCTGTATGTTCTCATGTTTCTAAGTTCTGCCATCTGAATGATTAAACTAAAGTCTTCTTTACAAAGGCTGTCTTTTTCTGCCACCATCTCGATCAGAACTTGAGAAAATAATGTCCTGACATTGCAGCTGACAGTCAGTGCTGGTGTCACTCCTGGGAGCCAGCACTGCTGTGTTTCTTTCAGACATTGTTCCCCATTAGCCGTCAGAAAGTGAGGACAGAACGTAATCTGGTTTATTTCAGTTTGAGGTTTTAACCTTTAAAGGGATAAAGTTTAAAAGAGTATGTAAACATGTCCTTAATTCTGGTCATTTGCTCACAAGAGGGGTAAGATGTCAAACTGGTGTTATGGAAAATGGATGGATTGTGGAGTATCAAACTTAGAATTATTTGTGGAAATCGGTGCCGTACCCTCACGCCTGACCCAGCTGGCCTGGGTAGCAGGAGACAGGTCCCTGCATGAGCCTGCCTGGACCCCACACAGCTTTTCCCAGGAGATTCACTTTTCCTGGCTGCAGACTGCTGGAACTTTGCTGAATTTTGCACAGCTCAAGGATCTATCCCTAAATTTTCAAGTCTTCCTTCAGTTTACAGCAAGAAAAGATGTGTTTGCAGGGCAGGGCACGCTTATGTTGTTGTAACCCAAATAAGCATTTCTTCTGGCGCTTCCCACTTTATCCAGGTACCAGGTGTCCCCCTCATTCCCCAAAATATTAAGCTCTTCTCTTCCTGATAAACTTTAAATGTTTTTAAATTTGTCTTATGTAAACACACTGAATTTGCTCCCTGAGATAGAATTTGGGTAAATCCAGAGTTCCATCAGTCCAGCATCTTTTTGCTATGGTGGGATATTTCTTTTAATCTTAAACTCTTCCTAGATGGGCAGCAAAGTGCAATAGCCTATTTATCAGCAGCTAGGTTATAGAGTAGCTTGTGGTTTAGGAATCACCTTTTCCCTTGATAACAGAATAAAATCCGAGCGGTTACTGTCAGAGCAGCCGACAGGAGCAAATGAACTGGAAGGGGAGAAGATACAAGTAGCAGAGAAGGAATGATCCCATCCCCTTGAGGGCCATCAAAATCATCCAGTGCCTCAAACACCTTCCTTTAGGCCAGTTTGGATCCTGCCATGGTTTATGAAGAGCTGATTTGATGTTTTCAGTTAAGAACCTGGCAGACGGGAAGATTTCTTCTTCATGAAGAAGGCTGTCTTGCGTTTTTTTCAACTTACTTCAATGACTATTTCAAGATATTACTCTGGGCAATTTTGTCTTACATTTCTATTGACTGGGCAAAGATTATCATGGTAAATTATGGATTGCTCTCATATAGATTTATTGCTGCTGTGTACATTATATAAAGTGTGGGCTATAATCTGGTGGCTGCTTCCAATAATCGAGGAGGTCAGATCTGTGACCGAAGATTGCAGATACTTAACCATCCATAAAAGTGTGTTTAATTAACACTTTAGCACGAGTCAGGGAGGAGGGTTGTATGAGTGAATAGGATTAGGTATCACAATCATGCATGCACTTGATAGTGGAGATTGTATTTTGGTTAATGAGGCTTCCTGGAAACAGTTGTTTGCAAGTAGGATTAATTTTAGAATCTTAAAAAAAAAATCAATTAAAAAATTAAACCAGGAGTACTTTGGCAAACTGTCAGGGCTTTACACTGAAAACAGTAATTTACCTGATTGAAAACAGAGTCTAACTCCCTGAAATATACAGAGCAGCTGGCTCTGAGGCTGGGCTGAACCCCTGCCCTGCAACGCTCTGTAAAACCACATTTTTCTCGGTGGGCTCCCCACGAGTCCTGTGGGGGAGCTGTGAGTGGCTCTGGACTGGCTCCAGCGCCTGCCTGACTGGGTGTGTTGCTACCAGCACTAGCGGGGTGCTGCTCTCCTCTCTCCTGTTTTCTCTCTGATTTTGTCAGCAGCACCACTTTTGCTTTGTTTCCCTCTAGGTGTTTGTAGCCACTAACTGTTACGCTGCTCGCCCGAGCATCCTGCCCAGGTCCCCACATCTCCCAGCCAAAATTGCCTCTTTTTACCAAAACACACCCAGCCACGTTATTGACATGCTCTGAAGATGCTGGGGAGCTGCCCTCAGCCCGGCTGATGGAGGGCCAGCAGCACAGGGGTGGCAGGAGCTGCCCGCAGCAGGGTGGCCCTCCTGGGCTGAAGGTGGCACATGCCAGTGTGGGATGATTCAGCTGGAGAGCTGCTGGTTTGGGCAGGCACAGCTTTCCTGGGCCGGCAGTGGAGCTGTTGCTGGGGGCGTGGGCAGGGTGAAGGTGCTTTGGAGCTGAGGACAAGGCAGAGGGCTGAGCCCAGGGTCCCTTGTTCTGGGAGCTGCCGGGCTGGGGAGGACACACGCAGTCAAGGGTGTTTAAGAGCATCTTGGCACAGCCTGTGTGCGCATCTGAAATCCTCTGCAAGGCCCCAGGAGAGCCATCTCTCACCTGGCTCTCGGGTGTTGTGTGTGTGGTCGTTCAAGGCTCCACTTCATCCCATCTTGTGCAAGGTCCAGCTTTTCCCAGAGTGAAATATATAATACTTACGGGTTAAAAAATCTACAAAAAACTTCCAAAGAATATGAACAAGCTGAGGAACTGTTTTTCTAAATTAAATATAAAATCATAAAACTATATCCTTTTTTAAATAGTACAAATGACTTTAAATCAAATTAAGGTACATCCTTAGTAAGAACAGCAGCCTTTTAGGTGGTTACAAACATTAGAGGTCAGACATGGTCAAACATGTTAACACTTTGATCAGATTAAAATATTTTTCTTGCTACAGTTGTATAATTGAGTTTAGACCTGAGGGGGTTTTCTGAACATTGTTATATCTTGTACTATGTGGTAGTTAAATGGTAAAAGGAGCTCTTGTAAGTTCCTTTAAGTTCTTTTCGTAAATAGGTTTATAAAATAGGGGAATGAGCCATGCTGCCCTGTATATAGGGCACGAGGTCTCCCTGCTCCTATTGATGGGAGAGATTTCAGGGGAGCTCCTCACATTTTCTGTGTACTTCAGATGTGTGTGGTGAGTGTGTGAGGAGTGCAAAGGCAGGATGAAAATATTCTGTATGTAAAGCTGAGGCACTGGACTTTCTGTCTGTGTGAGAAACAGAAGTTCAAGAGCATATTTTTCTTTGGAAAACAGACACTACCTCATTTTCTTAATTACTAAGTTGTCAAACCCGAGCTTACAAGGGAGTAGAAGAGTGGGGGTACCTCCTCAAGCCCTGCACAGCTGAAGTCCCCAAATAAGACAGCAGAGCTCACAATAATGTGGCTTTTCAGAGCCTGGTCCCTGTGGTCTGCTGGGCTCCTTGGGCTTGTTCAGAGGGTATGAAATGTCCCCTTGGGCAGGGCAAGATCAAAGTGCAGTTACTGCTGGCCTGGGGCCACAGGGCCCAAATGTCTAACACGAGGTCAGAAAAGCATGGAGCTGCAGTCTGGGGCTGCTCTTCACTGGACAGAAGCTGAGCAGCAGCAGCTGAGGCTCAGGACACGGCTGCTTCTGCTGCATCCCCTCCCCAGGGCTGCTCCATCCCTCTGCAGGGGGACACTGTGGCCCCCACAGCAGCTGGCGGAAGGAAATCTGCAGCTCAGCTGTTCCTCTGCCTCTCTGTCCTGACTTGCACTGTCAGGGCAATAGTTTAGTGTTGCTTTTTCCTGTGTTGGGTTCTGATCTTGATGAAACCAGTGGGAAAGCTCCCCGGAGTCTCCGTGCGATGGGGGTTTGTCGCTGGGAGAGGGCAGCTGCACCCCCCTCCAGATGTGGTGTGTGGAGGGAGGGAGGCAGCTGGGAGCCAACAGGAGCTCTGTGTGTTCCCAGCAGTGCCTGCTGCTCTGGGAGAGCAGCATCCCAGCCAGGCTCCCTGGCAGCAGGGCTCACACCTCTCCAGGAGGGTTCCCTGTCCCCGGGAATTGTTACATTCCCGGCACACAGAGTTAGGAGTGCAGTGCTGCTGATGGACCTCCTGGCAGACAGACAGATGAATGATTTGTTCCCTCCTGACCAAAGCAAATCCACTTCTTTCAGCTCTTCTACCTAGCTTGAAATAAGACAATATTGAAAATAATGTTTTGTGTTAAAGCACAGTTTTGGATACGTGGATGTACCAAGACACAGGGCTTACGAGGTCATTTATTGCATGTCTGATTCAGTCTTGGTTTCCCCCAAGGAAAATTCTTGTGTTAATTTCTGAGTTCATATCACACCCTCAATTTTGAAGCAGAACTTCCCTTTGAAATAAATTAGAGAGTTCTGCTTAAGAAGCAGCGACATGATACAATACTGGATGTGTGTGGTCTAATAAACCTTATTTTTAAAATTGTTTGGAATGAAAAAAAGAGAAAGCAAAATGTCACAGGGAAACAAAAGCAAGTTTTATGTAAATCTGTGCATGTGAATAAGTGTGCACGTGATCCAGACATT